CTCTCGCGATACGTTTTCTCGCAAGAATTCCTTAGCATCGATTACCGGTTTGTTCTAGCTCACGCTTATTTACCTGCATCGCACGTACGAAAAACTCGCGCGCTCAACTACTCGAGCAGACCCGCGTCACTCTTATTTCCTTTCACGATGCGTGACTTTTAGACACGTAATCCATTAGATTATGTATACGAGCGCTATTTCGGATAAGGCATGTAACGAAGCGTGGAGATCATGCTGCTGCAAAAATCAGCGCGAAATTAGTGCGGAGGTATTAACCATGACATGTAGTTTTTCCGGTTCTTCTAGGAAATGATCTAAATAGGATAGCTTTTAATGTATGCTATACATCGAAAAATAGTATTGCATCTTCTCACGATAAATTCATGACTACATTTCTTTTTGAAGATAAAATCGATCTAAGTGTTGTTCTATTCTTATTATTCACTGAATACCACGAAAGATAGAACGATATACTGTATCAACTAAAAGAAAAACAATCCGTATAATCTAATCTAAAATTATTCAGGACATTTTCAGTTATTCCATCGTCAATTTTAAACGACCTATTCTAGAGACACGCGCCTAGAAGTTGAGAATATATTTCAGCTGCACTTGTTTTCCTAATATGACTAAGACGTGACGTGTATGAAGAGCGTAATGAGTAGCCATCTCACGCCTAGGACACCGAAATGTGCTTGAATCCATTCACGAGCGTGCGAGAAACGAATTAGTATACAAATCGCTTTTCAATTTCTTATTCCTTTTCTCTAAGAGAGTATGCAAGGTCGACAGGGAACCCATTTGTCTTCTGGACTCGGGCGTGCCCTTGTCAAGTACAGAACGAACGGTACAGGCAGGTATACCTACGATCGAAGATTCTACCTGCCCTTTCGTAGACATTTCGAGTACGTTCTTCCGTCGACGGGAGTTCTATTAAGGCGTTTTACTTTGCGACCGCCCGGCGCTTTTTTATCTACGAAGATTGAAAAGCTCCGTGGCCCTGCCTTCACGATGACGTTATCGTCAGACGAGCAGTTAAATGGTTTCTTCGAAGGATCGTACGGGAAGGGGAAAAGGTCGCGAACGTTCGGAAAACCCATCACCGAAAATACGCGAGAAACTACCCTTAACGAGTCCTATTCTACATGGTCGTAAGTTTCCGCCCGAAGTCGAGAAAGAGGGCCGAATTCGACGACGATGGTGCAACGATGTCGAATTGCCCCGCGACGGGCGCTTAAACGCTCGTTACGGACTACCGTATGATAACTCAATCGATAAAAAGTTGTTTGCAGCAGCGACATCGTACATCATACTCGAAACCGAAACTGACAACGAAATCCCGCCTTTAACGGTAGGCGTACGAAGCGCGATAAATCACGATAAAAAACGCGAGATCGTTTCTCTTCGTGAAGCTGGCGAAAGCGACTAGCGTTCTCTGGCTCCGCGTAACCGTCTCAAGATTTCGCAAATCGCATCCATTTGCGGTCCACCCGGCAGGAAGCGAACAGCTGCGGTACACTACTATGAAAATTTAGTTGGCGAGCTAACGTGACAATAAGCATTTCCGCGTTTCGGCTAAATAACTTTACGTAATCCCGTTGGGGGAGCAAAAAAAGAAAAAGAGAGAGAGAGAGAGAGAGAGAGAGAGAGAGGGAGAGAAACAGAGAGTTGGTATCGATGCAGCTTATCGAGGGCTTAGCTTTTAATGGAAGCGTCGACTACGCAGGCGCCAACCTGGAAGTTTATGGGGTAAAAAGGGACCTTCCGTACTTCTCCCAGTCCCTCTCGTATTTTCAACTCGCCCTTTCGAGCTATAACCACCATTTCGCGCCGGAGCTCTCGGGTAACAGCTGAAACTGAAGCGTGTCGCGGAAAGTTAACGCGGCGAATGGCCAGTCACCTGATACAAAGAAAATCGAGAGCCTGTCTGGCAGTCTGTGGTCAGGGGAGAAAGGCATTGTTGCGGGATTGCGGGAAATCGGACGATCAATTGACTTTCCTAATTTTCCCGCGCGTCGCGCTGGCTTTAATGTAACGTCCGTCGCATTCGGCCTCCCTTTTCCACGTTGCCGATCTGCGTGACAGAGATAATTCTATTCGGCTGGTGATTACAAAGGCACGAGTCGGGCGGACGAGCAGGCGGATCACGAAATTACTCGTCATTTCCCGATGGGAGAATAGAATGCGAAATAAAATTGCTGTTAAATGTGCAATAATGAGTTATTTTAGACAATTATGTTGTATTATGACCACTAAATGATTGTGGTTAAAATTTCCTTTCAGAGAATGCATGAAAACAAAGAGAATAAAATATAATTCAATTTAATTATTATATTAAATTAAATTAATTTCGGAAAAGATTTTTGTTATTACTTCTCAATAAAGGCAGAATGTTTGTTATGAAAATATCATTATAAGAAACGTTTTTTGTAAGAAAAAAAGGATATTTAATTGGATATAATAATTAAAATTTCATAATATAATTGTTGGGAGTATTGCGAAAGGAAATGGTACCAAATAACCAGGTCCACTGTTGACATCGGAATTATCACGAACATACACGAAGAATCAGAAGGTGTTGAAAAGAGTAGAGACTTAGAGCGATGTACAATGAGATGTGCTGCTGAGCTTTATTCGAAATCAACTGCTGTCATCGTTAAGCGATAGACATACACTGGTACCGAGAGGTAACCATCGCTTCGCGAGAAAAGAAAGAAAGGTTGCGAATGTATACATCGTGTGACGCGAAGTAAACAGCTGATAGGTAGAAAGACTGTCACGAATTCTGACCGAGTCGATACCGATAATAAGCGTGTTTTGAACGGAATAACGGTCGACAGAAATAAACGTTGAAATTAACGAGCACAAGTACTTAACATGACGGTTCATGTAATTCTGAAAAATGCTATCGATCTGAGAATAATTAGCGTACTGAATTTTTACTGAATTTAGTCCAAACAGTAATATTTAACTTCATAGCTCTAGTAAATAGATTAAAATCCAGGTTCAATTCTAGTAAATACGTATTTACTATTTGCTATTATTCCAGTTAATTATTATAGTAAATTCATAGAACAAAAGGATAAATAGAGACACACTTGTTATATACATAGCAAATACAAACGTAATAATGATTATTATATATATTTGTTACATTTTTATTTTTGTAATTGTAAATTGTAACGAATAATATGACAGTCAAGAAATTAAATTTTGAAATAAAATAAGATATTTTGCAACGCTTTCCGTATTTTATAGCAATATAGAATAATAGACAATAACAAGTTATAGACGAGATATTTTGATACTTTCTGAACGTGATCTTTTCTCTGTGTTAAAATTCAATGTCGTATCGTAACTTGCTGACCTCATATTTTACGAATATGATGAATTCTGAGTTAGAGTATTTGAGAACATAGCGACACTAGACTTAGAAGAGTTTTTATATTCTAATCTAAAAACAAACTCTTGGCATTATGAAGACAAAGTTTTTTACATTATTCTTTCTTTACCAGTTCACATAATTTAGAAACACTGGTCGGTAAAATAAGATCGTCAAAAATACATTGCAATCAAATAAATTCATTATATAATATGATTGCAAGTGCTACTAGTCTATTTATATTAATAACGTGTGAAAATGCAAAAATAAAGTCATTACGATAATTGCGTCAATCGTATAATACGCAGGACTTTCGTCAGATTAATTGCGAAAATCGACATTTAAGAAAAACGATTGTCGGATTTACGCCGTTTACGGTCTTTTATGCTTCTGACAGGGGACCGAATTCGGACAAAGCGAACTTAATCGCTAATTGAGTGAGAATAGTTATGAGAGCACAAATGGTCCGAACGATTGATGGACTTTCCTAGTTCACTGGTCGCTGGCGGATATGTAACGACGGATTTAATGCGACTTTTCGTATATTTCCCGTCGACCCATATGTTCGTGCAAAACCGACCATCGAAAGATGACCTCATTCATGCCCCCGATCACAATAGCGCAAAATGTGTCGCCGTTAAATGGGCTACAGGTCGTGTAGAAGCGCGTTCAATGGCACGACTACCGCCTCGTTAGCCTGTCGTTTAGGAATTATATATAATTTGAACTGTTACCATTATGTACGTACCACGCGCGCTACTCGGCGCTTTTATAGGCACGCGAACATCGATTATGAATTCTATTGGATTAACGATGAACGACTTCGTACTTAGTCAACTTTCCATCGTAAGTATTCAACAACCGGAAGCAACGTTACTCTCATTTTAGGATACAAAAGCGCGTTATGTACGATCTTTCGAGAAAGATTATTGCTAAAGAAGATAATATTTGCTGTCGTACTATATTAGAAATTGTATGATTCGTATGGGTATCTAATAGTAGATATATTATTTACTGTGTTCTAGAATTACAGTAATTAAAAGACGACGCCAAAAATATAAATTCGTAATTACGAATATCCTATATCCAATCACAGCTGTATAATAGTTACAAATAAATTATTGTTTATTTAACTAAAAAAATATTCAAGAGAAATAACAAAAATATCGTATGATGCATTTCGAGCATTATGTCATATTATTTATTTTTCCCCTAGATTAATTCATTTAAATAAATACTATTTAATTCTATTTCTATAAAATATAATTTTTGTGTAAAAGTTTTTTCGTGCAGTAATAAACAATAATAACACTATCGGATATTTCGAAATCTGTTGGACAAGATGTGCAATAGATATTCATATGCAAATATGCAAATTCATCAGATATAATATGTGTACGATGTGGAAGATCAAAATTCGAAGATATAATTTTAACTATTTCTAGATTTATATAATATCGAACCTATTCTTTATTGAATGATGATAAAATCTTGTTTTATATGTAGCTTCATATATACAAACGCGAAATACAAATTTATAAAGCAGACGCTGTTATATAAAAAATATTAGCGTGTATACTATTCTAAAAATGAAAGAACGTGCTTTTTTCTCTCTCACCTAAATAACGGCAGTTCTACGTCCATTGATGATGCACCGGCGGTGGCGGCGGTGGCGGCAATGGCAAGGGTCTCTCTAAAACGGGAACCGGAGACACGTCCGGCATGGCGAACCTCAGCTTCTGCCAGAACAACTTGTCCCCCCATACCAGCACAGTGTGCGACGAGATTCTCTTTTTGAGATCGGCGTCGAGATCCCGTGGGCACACACCGCCCACCAGAAGCAAAATTACCGAGCGGCCCTTTCCCTTGAGAGCGTCCCTCAGGGCCGCCTTGAATTCAAACCTGGACCACTCGCCATGCAGAAAGTTCTTCGACAATACGAGAATAGTGCGCCTCGAAGAATCGGCCGCCTCGGCTACGGCGTCAGCGACGTTGCTGCCGGCACCAAGATCTCGATAGTGTAAGCACAGCCTATATGAAGTTTCAAGACCCGGCACGAGAATCGTAGAGACGAAGGCCTCGTCGACCGCAGAATAGGAGATGTAGGCGTCGAACGGTTTCTCCTGATCCTCGAAGGCTGCGGTTTTGTAGCACGCCCGTAGACCGCATCTGCTCGCGGCCCAGGTTCTCAGAGTACGACGATGCCTGATTGCGCCGCACACCAACGCCACCGCTGCGAAAATCAGCACGACTGTGGCTAGCAGTACCGGTAGATAAGCTTCCAGCGGATGCGTCTCGACGACGGAAGTCGTGCCCGTTAATGCCGCGCAATTTATAACCGATCCGTTCGCTGGAAGAGTTATGGGTACGCCTAGAGAACAGGTGACGCTTTGCCAGTCATTGATCTTCGCCTGGTTGCGGGACATCCACTCCCGTACGCGATCCAGATAAGAGCATTCGCAGTTCCACGGATTACTAGACAAACCGATGTCGACTAGATACGGATTTTGGCCCAATTGCCAGAGAGCAAAAGTGCCGAGTCGATTGTTCTCCAAACGCAAGACTTCTAGCTGACGTAGTGGTAAGAACGTACCGTTATCAATATACGTTAACAGATTATTCTGCAGATAAAGTTCCTTCAGATTTTCCAAAGGCATCAACTCTACGCCATTAAGAAAACTTATCTTGTTGTTCTCCAGATGTAGCACAAGCAGCCGCTTCAAACCACTGAAGGTGTGATTGCGGATTGCGATGATGTTGCTGTCGTTCGCGTAAAGGATCTGCAAATTTTTCCGGCCGATGAACGAGTGAGAATTCAGTTCCCCGAAATTGTTCCCATCGAGATAAACCTCCGTTGCGTCCATCGGTAACCGACCCGGCAGGGTTTTGTAGCCTGAACTGGAACAGTCGACGACATTTGCCGACCAGGACTGATCGTGATAACACGTGCAGTTCGTCGGACATGTCATCTCGCAATCGCAAGCATCGAAGTCGCAGCAATGGCAGAGAGCGAAGCAGTGCGCCTTGTATGTGCACAAGAATTGTGAAGATTTTGCCTCCAACAGCGGTATAAACGACTTGTGACGATCGTAAGGTAATCTACAGTAAACGGACTCGAGATCCATCACCCTCGGATGCTGTCTCAGCGTAAGCGAATTGATCCTCTGCAGCCACTCCGTGGTGCAGTCGCATATAAAGGGATTTCCGCCGATGTAGAATGCCGGAAGTTGTCTGTTAGATGGCACCGGAGTAAGCTGGAACGCTGAGAGGTTCATCTTGATAATCAGATTCGCGTAGAGATCCACTCGAGTGAGATTCGTCTTTGCGAAGAATGTTTGCGGCTCCACGGAGGCTATCAGGTTATTGTTGACGAACAGTAGCTCGATGGAATCTGGAATCGACCGAGAGTCTATCCTCGTTAGCCGGTTAAATGACACATCGAGTGTCTGCAGATTCGTATTCCGTGGCGCTACGCCAAGATCTTCGATAAAATTTTTATGTAGATCCATCCATTGTAATTTTTCAGGCAAGAAGCTATAATCAAATTGCGTAATAATGTTGTCAGACATGTTTAAATACAAAACACCGGGCGCGTTTATAAAGATGCCAGACATGTCCTGCAATACATTTGAATCCAATCGGATCGCTTGAAGTGCCGGATTGGCAGCGAATGCACCATTCTCCACGAATTCGATTCTGTTCCTGGCAAGATTTAAGATTTGCAACGCCGGCAATTCCACGAGATCCTCCTGCGTGACGTTAGTGATCTCGTTGCCGATCATCCTTAGCCCATAAAGACTTGACATTCCTCGGAAACCAGGCTTATTCAGGCTTCTGATCTGGTTCTCGCCCAGATCGAGGGTCCGCAATATCCTCATGTCTTTTAGCGCCACTGGTATGCTGTCAAGATTGTTGCCGGACAGGTTTAAATCTTGCATGCTCGAGCAGTTCCGAAAAGCGTCCGGATGAATTCCCTCAAGCAAGTTGGAGTCCAAGGCCAGCAGCGAGAGCGCGAATAATCCGTTCAGGGAGTAAGCGTCAAGATAAGTCAACCGATTGTGAGCTAATTCTAGGGTGTGTAAGTTGCTCATCGGCGCGAAAGTGTCCGCCGATATCGAATCTATCTCGTTAAATTGGAGATTTAAAATTTGTAAGGTATAGAGATCTTTGAAGATTGTCGTATTTAGCTTGCTAATTCGATTATAAGATAGATTCAGGAGTACGAGGCGTATCAATCCAGAGAATGTTCCCGAGTCTAACCACGAACTAGTCAGAACGTTCCTTGACAAGTCGAGGGTGACTAGTTGATTCATGTTGGCCACCAAACCAGACAACAGCGCACTGATAGAGTTGTTTTGCAATCTCAACTCCTTCAGTGACTTGCTCGCATCCCGGAACATCGCCGTCGGCAAAGCGACGATTTTGTTTCCAGATAGGTCGAGATTCTCAAGGGATCTAAGTCCGTGCAAAGCTCCGTCTGCTACCATGGAGATAGCATTGCTGGACAAATTCAATACTTTGAGACGTTTCAACGACGAGAATCCATTGATAGGCAACACGGAAATTTGATTATTCGACATGTCTAACGATTGCACATCCAAGGAACATGGAAGAGGAGCCGGCGTGGATTCCAATTGAATCCGTCTCGGATGCTGCTTCTCAGATATTTTTTCTTCAGTGACATCTTGAAATCCAAGTTCCGTAATGTCCTTCAACGAATTCCACGAGATGTTTAAAGTTACTAAATTCGATAAGGGGCAAAACAGGCGATCCGGTATTTGCCAGATATTATTCCATGACAGATCAAGTTTTTCAATCTGCGGCGTATTGTCAAAAGCGCCGCTTTCCAATTCCAGACTATATTTGGTTTTGTGTCCATTTAGTGTTCTAACAGTCAGATTACGGAGATCGCGGAGACCGCTGAGTAGCTTGGCCGGCCAATGCATCAACTTGCATCCGGTCAGCTTCAACGACCGCAGCCGCCATAAGTGAAGGAAGCTGTCCACGCTGAGTACGCCATTGTCGTCTTCCTCATCGGAGTCCTCACACACGATGTTCATGGAGGTCACGTACTCGCTCGTAGCCTGAGAAAAGTTCGTCCTGAGCGAGTCGTTGCCCGTGTAATGATGCACGCAGGTGAGCGCGCCATCCTGGTGCAAATCCCACGAACAATAGTCCGGCAAATCGAGCTTTGGCGGTAGCTCACTGGTCACGGCGAGCACGTGGTATACTGGCACGAGCAGGCAGTAATAAGCCAACGACAGCGACAACGATCTTCTCCCGGGACCTTCGTGCCGACCGACGAGCCCACGCATCTTTAGTGAACTCGTTGCCTGTGCTTGGTACCGGTTTTCTGCTTCCTAATCATCACACGCCGCGCGACCGCGTCACGTTACCGGTTATTGCCCACTGTGCTGGGCGTCTATTCACGCAAGCCTGGCCGAGATGTGTTACTGAAACTGTTCGCTCCGTCGTAGTATATACGATTCACTCCGATTCGATTAACTGTGAGCATTTACGGACTGACATCAAATGCCCACATAAATCAAGAATTAATCGGTTCATTGGTATAATTCTCAAAATCGTAATTATTATCACGTAATTTTAACTTATATCCAAGATTGTTTACACTATTTCACTTGATTTAAGAGCATTCGTCCGACGCGGCATAAATATTTTGCACGGATACGGATGTTTCTTTACAGGCAAAAATAAGCTACTCTATTGTTCGCGATGTTCTCTAAATTCCGGATTCGTTTCGGATTTAGTTCTTTGAAGACCGATCGACGGTGTTTACCGAGTTACGTCACGTCAAAGTCGTTTAACAAGCATCAACCCTGTATCAGAATGTTATCCACTTACGGTGGTTCGCTGACAAACTAATGTCGCGTCTCGCTACGATATCCCGCATTCCGATCAGGGGGACGTGCTCTGTTATCCACACGACATTGACGTCTCGTGCCAACTCCTCAAATCGCGTCCCGAGATGTGCCATTACAAGATCCCGCACATCACACTATTTCCTCGATGTCGATGTCGAAGCAAATACGCTCCGATTCTCGATCAGGGTCCATTGATAGATCAGCCAAACTCCAAGATTCCAGAAGATGAGAGAAAGAAAGAGAGAGAGAGAGAAAGAGTCGTTGATCAAAGAGAAAAAGGAACGATAAGAGAAAAGGATGATTTCGCGACCTAGGCTATCCGCGGTAACGGCGATGAACAAATATAGAGAAATAGAGATCGGAGCAGAGAGAGAGCGTCTCTCCCTATGACAGCAAAGACCGTAACGCTCGGTACGACGGCCACCGCACGACTGACGAGCAAGATCTCCTCGGCATCTAACTCGACGCAGCGTCCACCAATCGTTTCTATCCCCACCGAACCGGTGGCGGCAGCACTCACACATAGCGGCGGCGAGCGGCGGCACCAAGTGGAGTGAGCACGCGCCTACCGCAGGACCTCGGGGTAGGACGAGGATGTCCTGCGCTGCGTTTCGTACGCGAAGCGGCGCGGCGTCTTTCTTGCGCGTATACGCGCGCCCCTCGGCCGCGTAACACACGCACACGCCCTGCGCTGCTGTTACCATTACACGCGATCGACATACAGACAGACTATTACAGACGTGCGGCAACGAGCGTGTAGAGAAGAGAGAAGAACGAGCGGACATTGCACGCAACCTGTCTGTATCTTCTCGCCGTTCTCTCGGTTGGTCCTGCACAGGGGCGAGACCGGGGACACGATATCAGAAAAAAAGCATCGACACTTTACTCGTTATTAGAGCCGGCAAAAAATATCGATATCCGCGCCGTGCCGGCATCAAAAAAGGAAAATATCGATGAATGCACCATCGACGATGCGAGTAAATATCGAGAAAGTAAGGAGATGGTCCTATTCTCGCGTTTCAATTTCACGTGTGTAAATACACGATATGTGTTTCTGTAAATCTAAATTCTACTCATCTAGTAATTAAATAATTAAACAGTTGTGTTGTAAGACTTTTTAATACATTCTAAAAGATGCAACGTCGTTCTACAACGCAATACCATTTGGTAAAGTTGAAATCAATTTCTGTACTTATTCGGCTTTTCTCGAATAACCAGGCAAAATGCAAAGCGACAGTAGACAAAAGACGTGGACTGGATGCACGTTTGAAACTAGCTCAAGCGTTATATGAATCGTTGTGGACGACGGCAGAGGGACAGCGGTGTCTTGCGCCGCCTTTACCAGTCGTCTCCATCTCGCTCAAGATCTCATTCGAGAAGGAGACCCTTCGTCTGTTCATAGAACTATTCCATGAGAGGGCGGAGAACTCGAGCACGTCGCGTGCTCGTCCTCACGCATACGCAGCATATATTCATCGAAAGATACACATAGGGACGTTGGCGAACGATCAAAAGAGACGGAGAAAAGGATGGGTAACCGGCATGTGCACGACTTTACGATTCGATTGCCGAACTTGCACGAAGAACCGCGAACCGGTCTTTCCTTCTCCTCGCATCATGGAGACGCGACGTGTTTCTTTTGGACCTACGATATTTGAAGCATCCACCCTGGCATCGACCACCAATCGTAAAAAGGTTTCGATCAATTTTTAAGTGGCCACCGAGCCAGCACTACTCTCTTCCTGTCTCTTTCTCTCTTTTGATCTTGTTTCTCATTCCCTTCCATTCCATATCCTCGCCCCCGCTTCGGAAACTAACAAACAACGTTCGCCCGGTTTCTCTGCCGTCGTACTCTCGATCTGCAGATCGCAGCAGATCGAGAGAGCTCCAGATACGTCCGATGCTCAATAAGCCTCGCTGATTCATGCTCGTTCGGCCGACAAGCGACTTTCGACTTGATCGATGGGAACTCGAAATAGTTTGTAACTTGGTGGCTACGGTCGCGCTGTGGTTTCGACTTCGCAGAATATATTCGCGCACCTCGCTTCGCTTCGCCCCGCTTCGGCCTGCCTGCCTGCCTGCCTGCCTGCGCTCCGCTCTCGCCCTCGAGGAAGCGGGCATTAATTCATATTAAGTGTCACTTAATCGGGAACTTCGACGGGAAATAAGCGTTGGACCCCATCCTCCTTCTCTTCCCCTTCGCGTCCCTTCTCGTTCCATATCGGATGTTTGTAGCACGATACGAAAGACGGATCACCCGCTTAATTGATGCATAGGTGATAAAAGAGACGTACTGTACCTTTCGGAGGGTTCCTTCCGGAAAATTGTGACTTATTAGCCGTGTAGTAAATTCGTAGAAGGAAGATTGTCCGTGCAATCCTTCCTTCGTCTTTTATAATGAGCAAGACGTGACTCAAAGCAGGGATATTTAATCCATCTAACGATATTTTATACTCCAATTCTTTACGTTAAAAAAGACAAATTGCAATCCATCTGTAGAAAAAATGGAGTTTGAGAATTTGAAAAAACGAAAAATGCAATTTTCTTCATTTTTAAATTAATTTTTTTTTCATTAAAACGAGTTATCTCTACAAATTAAATTGCTAATGAGAATAATAATACAAAGAGAACGTCAATATCATGAATGTCACACACATTTATCTATAATCTCAAATTATAAACAAATTTTTAAAAAACACTATTTATATTCATATATATAATCTATTAATTGTTGCAGACGTAAAAATAATCCAAAAATAGAGCTATTTTTGAGCAAAGTTAGATATATCTTAACTCACAGCTAAACAAACGTTCGTAATAAGTAATAACAAAGCGATTACATTTATCGTTACGACTTATTTCGCGTATGTAGACACTTAATTCCTAATGTTGCGTCGGAAAAGATTCCTCGAACTGCAATTAATTTGTCGCTCCATTACGCGAGGATTCTTCTGGAAGTCACATTTAATTAAAATCGTTATAACGGCGATCGTGGATCGTTATAGCTCCAATAATAGGCGCCGTAGATATCCAACGAGTTTTCCCCCGGGCAAAGATATACGCAGTCTTACTCGGTCGCCTTCTAGAAACGAACCTGTTATTTCTCAGCACACGTCTGCTTCGTTATCAACTAATGTTAGAACAGACTCGCAGTATTAAAAACGCTTGTCGATTGTGCGCTATATACCGTACCTTCAAAATGAAACTTGCCACAACCGCGAAATATCCAGTTACTGAACAAATCGAGATTAAATAGTTCCATTTCGTTTCAAAGAATACAGTAAAATTATAATATCTATCAAAATTAAAGTTTAAAAGACTTAAATATCAATCGATGTTATCTTCAATAACAGTAGCAATAATAGCGTTTGAACGTACACCTCACTGTTTATTCTGAATGTGATTTATAAAATTTCTATTTTACTTTATAATAACACAGTATAAGTTTCTCAGCAGGATTTCTTTGCAATCAAAAAATGATTCTATACCTTGCTGCTTCGCATTAAGAACTTTCCTATCCGATTCGGAAATCAATTAGTGGCAGATTTAGTTTCCATGTAAGAGGTGAGTCGCGCGTCACCGATGCGCAATCTTATCGTCCGGAATAGCGCCTGGAAATGGCGGGGAAAAAGAAGTTTTAATTAAACCTAGAATAAGAGTTTAATCGAGCAAGAGGGATTAATTGCCCGGGGGGGATTAAAACGACTGTAGGGTCAAAGGGAACTGGCCAGTCTCTTCCGCGCAGCAGTATCGCGACTTCTGAAATACCTCAGGCAAAACCATCCGTATAAATATGCGCGTGAAATCTCGCTGTGAATGTTCTATTATGTCTAATTAACGGGACGCCTGACTTCACGCGCACAATGAGTGCCAACGTGGGTCCCGCTTTTCATTTTCGAACTATCTCGTTCTATCAAATTCTTCTAATTCCTGGCGATCCGTAGGCGAAACGCGGCTTCTTTGTGCGGAGCACGCTAGAGTGAACAACGGCGATTTTAAAAGAACCTTGTGACTGACTCTCTCTCCCTCGTTCTCTCATAATTCGAAGGCTTCACTAGCGTTGTCTCGAACATTCTCTCTGTATATTATGAATTAACTGTATAACTCTCTCGCCAGGCTACATATATTTTTTACCATCTTATTTTTTTTTTTTATCGAACAAATTTCATTTCGCGATTCCCGAGAGACCGCACGCGCAGCTGATGAGAGCGTAAAAATAGCCAGCGAATGGTTTCGCGAATCATTTTTAGCTGTACAGTCGCCGTCAGATTTTACAGAGTATTGTTCGATATATTGGCACCGTGTACAACATATACTATGTCAAACAATAGTATGCTTTACGGTGATTCGATTTATATCGGATTTTTTTGCCGTGTGTTACACATCAGGCGCGCCGTGTGGCCACGGCATGTCGAAGTCTCGTGCAAAATAGATTCGCGTCCGTTTGCCAAACAAGTCTATCACTGCCAACGCGAACGGAAAATACATAGAGCGAATCCGTTGTTAGTACGATGACACGTTGCGTGTTTACTGTTTCATACATTTACAGTATCTCGATGACACGACAGCGTTAAAAATTTATTTAGATATTTCTTATTGATATTGTGTGCCACTGCATCCTGCAGCGCGTATGTAATTTATCTTACATAGAAGGAGGATACAACTTTCACTTTTTTCGCAACCGTTGGAAGATTGTCTTGTTCCTACATGTTCTTATATATTTTTCTTTATGGAAACCGAAAATTATCATAATAATGACGCTACATTGAAAGAAAAATTGGTACATTGAAA